TGGCAAATAGATGGGGGAGAAATGGAGGTAGTGACAGATTTTATTTTCCTGGGCTCCAAGATCACTGCAGACGGGGACTGCAGCCAAGAAATTAAAAGACGCTTGCTCCTGGGGAGGAAAGCTATGGCAAATCTAGACAGCATACTAAAAAGCAGAAACATCACCCTCCCAACAAAAGTGCGTATAGTCAAGGCTATGGTTTTCCCAGTTGCATGTCTGGCTGTGAAAGCTGGACCATAAGGAAGGTTGAGCGCCAAAGGATTGAGGCCTTTGAGTTGTGGTGCTGGAGGAGACTCCTGCGAGTCCCTTGGACCACAAGGCGATCAAACCGGTCAGTCCTAGAGGAGATCAACCCTGACTGCTCTTTAGAAGGTCAGATACTAAAGATGAAACTCAAATACTTTGGCCACCTAATGAGAAGGAAGGACTCCCTGGAGAAGAGCCTAATGCTGGGAACAATAGATGGCAACAGAAGAAGGGGACGGCAGAGGATGAGGTGGCTGGATGGAGTCACTGAAGCAGTTGGTGTGAGCTCAGGTGGACTCCAGGAGATGGTGGAAGGACAGGAAGGCCTGGAGGAATGTTGTCCATGGGGTCGCGATGGGTCGGACACCACTTCGCGACTAACAACAACAGCAACTTTAGGATGCTTCCAGAAGTGTCTTCTATTTGCTACCACTCTGCCTTATTCATTAATTTCAGGGGGATAGTGTTGTTTTCTGCTGTAAGGCTCCCAAGTTTTCCCATCACTTTTTTTTTTCTTACCATAAAAATCCATTAGGAAAAAAAATGAAATTGCTACATGATGCCTTTTGATTGGTAGTCCACGTAACCCTGTCTGGAAGCACCCTATAGATAATTGGTCTTTAAGGTAATTAAAACACTGTCACACATTGTATATGCATGGTTCAAGATGAGTAATTAAGCAGGGCATTCTTATTAGTGACCCTGAAGCTCTGGGATGAACTCAAAGTGGAAACATGATGGTGTCTGTCTTTGCTATGCTCTCAAAAGAAGAATAAGGCCGATTTATGTTTACAGATGTGGGATGCAGGTTGTGCAGTGGGTTAAACCACTGAGCTGCTGGGCTGGTTGATCGAAAGGTCGATAGTTTGAATCCGCAGGCAGGGTGAGCTCCCATGCTCTGTCCCAGCTCCTGCCAGCCTTGCAGTTCGAAAGCATGCAAATGCAAGTAGGTAAAAAGGCGCCACTTTGGTGGGAGGGTATCAGCGTTCTGTGCACCTCAGTGTTTAGTCATGCCGGCCACACGACCACGAAGACTGTCTGCGGACAAATGCTGGCTCCCTCGGCTAGGAAACGTAGATGAGCCTTGCCCCCAACAGTCAGACATGACTGGACTTTAATGTCATGGGGAAACCTTTACGTTTACAGACATCTGTGAATTCTACAGAACTAAGAAGTGCAGTCATTTTGTCTCTCTGTGGTTCATACTGAGTTCATTTACTTGGCTTAGCATTTTAATGTTTGGTTTCCATGACTTTTAATAAGCTATTTCAGGTAATAGAAGAGCAGAATATAAATATTTGAAATAAATTACTCTGTCAGAAGCAGAGAAGAAATTCTCTCCCCAGTATTTTTCTCTCTAACTTATTAACAAATAAGCCTAATCAGCAGATATGAATAACAAATAAAGGCATGTACCTCTTGAAAGAGATGCCAATTAGAGTCAGGTAGTTAAATCATGTTAATGTTTCACTCTAAGTATCAGCAGAACCATCTCAGCCTACCTGGCAGCAAGTTGCACAAGGGGCAGTGAAAGTGGAAAGGACTCTGAAGTCTACCTTGTCTAAAGGAATCATTTGAAAGGTCTTTGTTTGCTGCTTTATGTTCTTCTGAAGAGAAAACCTCCTGCCAGTCCATTTGAAAGGCATTCTCCCTAAATTCAAAGACTGTGAGAGCAAGAGTGGGGGAAAGAGATGTGAGGATAAAACAGTGACAGCACAAGGCCAGAATTCTCCAAGTGTAATACAAACCTCCTCTATAATGCATGTGTGTGTTATTGACGGAGAAAGCAGGATGTTTTCCCAGAAGCCCCAACCCAGCTTTCATGTATATATCTATAATCCAAGAGACGCAATGTTGCTCTTTCCTTTTTCTCAAATCAATACTGAATTTTGGAGTGTCCCGATGCACTCTTTTTTCCACATGCTGGCAGATAAAGCTGGAAGGTAATGGAGCAAGACTCTGTTTATCCTTCTCCCAGACAATTTGAGTCTTTTTCTGTGAGACTGTATTTTAGGTCTGTTCCCTTCCTTTTACCTTTAAATTGCCATAGTAATTAGAGACTGCAAGTATCAGCTTAGCCTGGATATGACTGGGTGCCTTTGTTTGTTTCTGGTAGCTTGGCAGCTCTTAAATTTCTCTTGGTTTAATAAAGAATTGCAATAGCAAAGTTTGAGCATCTTGGACAGAGGGGCGCATGTGGAAGAGCAGAGGACTCCACTGTAGTAGCCCTTTAACTCAAAGGTGGCATAGACATTGAAGTATGTAGGAAGGAACTATGTAGGAATATGTAGAAATATGCACACACACACATACCAATCCCTAACCCCCCGCCCCACAAACAAATGCATCATTTCCACTTCATTTATTAGGGGAAAGAACAGCAGGTGCATTTTCCCTTGTCCCATTAGTGGTAAGCACTGAAAGAATGCTTCACAACTCAGAGCTACAGAAAGGGGACATTCAAGAATGGGGAAGAGTCCTCTGACCCACAAGCACAAGAAGAAATAAAGCAACATATGAAAATAACCCTGGGAAGAAAAAGAGAATACTTCCCTACAACCCTGTGTTTTTATAAGAAATGCAACCTCATGTAAACCACAATCTGCCTTTCTGCTGGCTTGGGAGCACCTCTTTTCGATCTGGATTATGCTTCAAATTGTTTTACACACAGAAGGCAAATTCAACAGCACCGGTACCAGAAAAACCTCTATAATGACAGCTACTGCTCTGATAAGCCACCATTAGTTTTATCTTTAATGTACCTGAAAAACCACCTTCTTCTATATGAGCCTATGTGGTTTTTAAAATCTTCAGGATGGCCCTTCACTGTATGTCCCCCATCAGAGATAGGGAGATAGGTGGAAATGAAAGAAGAGCCCATCTCAGAGCCCACTCCCAGGGTATGCAACTCTATCCATTGGCCCCTTTCTCTGTTGGCAGCACACAATTTTTTTTCTCAGGCAGGCCTTTGGCATATATGATGCTTGTTGCTGAAGGCTTGTTTTCAATGTTTGGGGTTATCTCTTTTATGTTTTAATATATTTGTTCTCATGTTATATTTAATTAAGATTTTTGTTTTTCATCAGGATTTTAATATTAGCTGCCTTCAGTATCATTTTTCATGGTATAAATGTGTGACAGTAATTAGTTTGAACTCTCTCTCTATAAGGATACGGAACAGGATGAAAACAGTTCAGTTTCCTGGCAGGTCCAAGCATGGCTCCAGAAATGCCCCTCCTCTCATATCTGAAACCAAGCCTCTCCCTGCCTCGTCCCAAAATCCAACACTACATCACACGCCTGGGGCACACAGGCCTAAGATCCCCTGCACCTGTTTCCAACGCTTTCCCCCATACCATGCACTTGCTTTTCACCATACTCAGCAGATGGAACACATGTCCCTCCTGAACTAATAAAAAGTACAAATAAAACTTGTGATGTTCTAAGTGAAATGAATAGGCATGGTTCATTATATGTACCCCACTGAACTTTGTTTCATTCCCCCTTTTTAACAGGGCAAATAAGTCTGGTAGGAATAGTTCTGATTAAAATGTGTCTTGCCTCTTCTCTTCCTGCCTCTTTTATTTAATTCCAAAGGATTCTTTAAAGGATGCTGGTTTCTGTTTTTCAGGAGAATTCTTTACAAGTTTTCAAGAGAGACATCATTTCATATTAAAAAAAAAAAACCTTCATTTAGAAGCCAAATCAAGCAACAGTCTTAAAATCTATCTTTTTTTAATATGAAAGTTTTGTCTCCTGGACCATTTCTTGTTGGCATGTTCTTCTCAGACCAAGAAAGGAATACACTGGCATATATACTCCTTTGTTCATCCGTGTGTCCAGCACATATGGCAACAGTCTGAAATGTATGCAAACCTATATTAAGAGGCAAACACCGCCGATTTCTCAGATGTCAGTTGGTGAACACATGCACACAACTATGCCTTTTCGAGATCAGACAAAAGCATGGCTATTTCATCTCTATTATCTCAACACAATCTGCTATATATGACTGTGCTCCACTACTATCCTTCGATCGACCATTTCAAGCTTGATTTTGTTCGACCAGTGTTGCGGGAGCAGGGAAGTGACACTGAAGACAAGGTATTAATTGGCAAAAGACATGTACACTCAGCAGACACAGGCAGCTGGAGACCCACAGCAATCAGAATTCTGCTTCCTCATGCAGACAGAAGCTCACTCATCACATTTGGAGCTTGTAGGGGAGAATAAGCAGCAGCAGTGTCACCGCCCAGTGACCTGAATGGTTTTATCACCTGCTCTGCCTTTGATGTTTTCAGGATCATTCTTGGCAGCAGCGTCCACTGAGAAGTGGTGGTGCGTGGCACAGAAATTATTGCTTGGTGTTTCGGATTTGGATGTCAGACAAATACTACAATGATTATCTGGTTATTGAATCTGTTTGGCACATGGGTGGGATCTTCAGTTGTTTACTCCATGGACTCTGCTCTTCTTGAAAATCATGCGAAAGCATAAATTATCTTTGTGTTCCACTTGGCATGGGCCAAAACTGGGGTGCCATTTGCTACAATGCACAGGAAAGAGGAGGTAGCAAAAAGAATGCCATGTCCTTTGGGAGTTCACCGGGCAACAAATCTGCCTCCTCTATTTATTTTCTCAAGAACTGAGTACCGATTAGTCCAGCTTCTTAAACACCACAAGGAGGAGACCTTTTGTGCAAGGTGACTAAGTAATAAAGTACAGGTCTCAAAATCACACAATGAGCAGCTTACCTGGCACTTTCAAAGGTTGCAGATGCTGACTTCCCAACAGCACCGAATCCAACACCAACAGCCAAACCCTCTGAAACAGGGAAAGGAAATGGCAGTTACTAACTCAGCAGCTGTCTTGGCAGATAGAGGGATATTCTGTTTAATCCCTCTAATGTCTTAAGTGGCTTCTAAACCAACCATTTTCCTCTACTGATAAGAAGCATATAATAAGAAATCCTCCATGGTCTGAAACATGTAGCACTGTTTAACCTGGAACTTGTCAATCAGAACACACTCCAATGACTAAGTCAGTGACCGCTCCTTTAAATGGTTTGGTTGCACACCTGTAGGAGGTTGTCTCTTCCCTTTCACATACTTAGAACCTGCAATATTGACAGTACACAGAAAGGAAGCATGTAGTTTTACATCTCTGATGCACCTCCGATGCACAGTGCTCAGCCACCCTCCACTGGAACCATCTGGACATGGATTTTCATATATGATGGAGATGCACACTGCAATCAAGGGCTGCTAGTTCTCATAGCAACTACTCGCACACAATAGCAACTAGATGGGGGTACTGTATTCTGAGCCCCCCCCCCCCCCCACACACACACACAGAGTCCAGGATATTTTAGTGTTGTATTTTTTGTATGCCGATATGACTTTTCAAGCCCGGTTTTGAACATGTGGGTTTAGAAAAACAACAGATATTCAGTTATTTGCAGTTACTTGCTGTTCTTCCTCCTGTATTTCAGCTCTGCACAAAAGAATTAATGCTTGTTGGTATAGAATAATATAGTTCCACTGAACTCCAGCATGTGATACTCGGTAGCATTGTTTAAGAATCCAAAAATATCGATACTACACATTCATCTTTAAAAGTCTGACCTAGAAAACCTACAATCACATCAGGCAGAAATTTCTTCCCTGCATACTCTCCCTTAAATGTTTTAAAACCTGAGTCCATAATGCAGAACAAATTAGATGTTCTTAAATTGGATTGTTTTAAGCAGAAGTTAAATTTAGTTGCAACTAAACCTGCTTCACTGATTTCAATGAGATTTATATGTCACCGGAATAAAAGCCTTACACCATAAAGAGAAAAACAAAGTGTCTTTGCTGAACCTTTATTGAACCTTAAAGGCATTAGTTCTCAATAAAACCACATAGCATTGCAAGTGTACTCAATTCTGTATATATTCTAATGGCCCAGTGTTATTTATTTATTTTATTTATTTAAAACATTTCTATGCCGCCCCCTTCGCCAAAAGCCTCTATTACCAGTTGCTACTCCTGTAAATAAACAGAAATAATAATAATAATAATTCAGTTCAATATCTCAGCTAATGATCACAATCCACAAGAATTTACTCAACTACTGAATGGCACGTGGTAATTCTTATTGCACTACATTCTTATTTAAGCTTAGATGTTCAAAACAATGTAGAAAAAATGTGGAGGGAGAGGAAGCACAACAGGATACAGCTGAAGACACTAGAAGCAACTCATGTACCACCATCTTCAGTATTCTGGTCACCGTGCGTCTCCACTATCAGCGAGGGAGCTTATGGGAGTGTATGACCCCATAAGATATGTGATGCTTACTGGTATAAAATAGGGGTGGGAGAACTAGTGGCTCTTCAAATATTTGTTAGACTACAACTTGAATTATCCCTGAATGTTGGCTTAGGAGGTCCCAGAATCCAACAAGACCTGGGGGTGAGGGTTGTCCATCCCTCCCCAACAAAATTAAATTTAAGACCATTATCTAGAACTCAAAAGGAAAAGCATGAAGTTCGGCTTTTTTATTTCCAAGAAATCCTACATGGGAAGATATGCACAGAATTTCATCTCCTGTCATTCACTGCAGATGTATGTCAAGCTTGGAATACACATTTTAAAGTATTCAAGCATGTTAACACATACAAGACAAATATTTGCTCTTTGCCAACTTTGTCAATTTTTTAATTATTACAGCGTAAGAACTCAGCACGTCCTAATAGAAGCTCATCTAGCAGGTGCATTTATATCTCCACAGGGTATAAATCAGAACTGCCTTAATTACAATTGCTGTAACTGTTAATAGGAAGAGGAAAGCATTTAGCCTTTAAACAGGTGCAGGAAATCTGACATCGTTATGTGCTTTTGGCTTCATCCCCAGAGATGAGTCTTGAAGCCACTCCTATGTAATTGGCTCATTCTTTGCAACCCATTTGGGGGAGACTGGTTTTCTTTTTTTCAAACAATCAGTCCCCTAAACAACCTGAAGTAGTTTCACTTCTCTCAAATAGTGAAACTTACGAGAATAATTCCTAGGGATATAACCTTTTCAGAAAATTCCTGTTGTTAAAAAAAAGAAGTGCATTTCGTTTGTGAACAGCACCAAACAGGGCAAGAAATAAAATCAATTGGAACTAAAAGCTGCTGTGAAAATATACCACTTTTTGAACAGACGTACAACCGTCTCCCTTTGGACTGATCCAGTGGAAAACCTGCTCTCCTTAGTTTGTAGCTGGTTACATAGTCCTGACCAGCTGGTTCTTGTGTTAATCACAAGGCCATCTCTTCCCCTTCTCAGAGTATATAAAATAAAGTTTTGAATAAAGGACTAAGCAGATATATAATCAGAGAAAGACAGAAAGTGCTTGAGAGGAGGAAAATACAAAGTAGAAGCAAACTGAACACCAGAAGAATGAGGTAGGAGAGAAAGAAATGAAAAAGAAAAGAAAAAGAACTTAGCATTTGATTTGGAAAACATATTTGGATTCAGAAAATCTGCTCATGTTAAAAGAAAGCATAGTAAGGGTCTTAAGCTACATCTTCGTCAACTGCTGCTGAACCAAGTAGTTATGATCTTCACTTCCAGCTATGGAGATGCTCTCCAGTGATGATCTCTTCTCATGAGTGAGAAGTTGTCCTGTATGCACACCATACAATGGGGGACCCAGTTTGGCACAGAATCCCCCACGCCCATGGAGGAGCTTGAAGAACATCAGTAGCAGGAGGACTGATCTCTGGTCTTGACCTTACTCCCCTTCTCAAGACATATGGGGTGCTGATCTGAACACCCCTTGCTGTGTGTGTCCTTTGGGGAGCAAAAACAGAGGGCAGTGGAGCTCATCCCACATCAGAAAAATCTGTATCGACTTCTGCTGATGCAGTGCAGCTTGAGTTGCCCAAGGGCCAAATACTGGTAGACAGATATGAATAAGAGGCTGAAGGCACCCTGAGGGAAAAAGGTATCAGTTATCTGGTGGGAGTTCCCAGGAGCAAAACAAGGTAGCAAGCATTAATAGAAGTCAAATGCACACTGCAGCTTATAAGAAACATAAATAAGAGAGAGCTAAGCTCAGCAGATGGTGCAGGGTGGAAAGAACACATATTGAGTGAGAGCTGCTGAGTGGAAATGGAAGCTATAACACATTCCAGGTGGATTACCTAAGTGTAAATTAGGAAGGTGATTAAGAATAGAAATGAGTAGCAACAGGGTATCATGAACATGCAAAGGAAGGCTCTGAAAGACAAGGTCAGCCAATTATTGCTGTGGAGGGCAATTTCCCTTTCAGATGACACATGGGGAGGGGAAGGCTGAGAGTGGAAGAGGAAATTATGTTGGTGAGGCATTGGGAGGCTGTGTGATCAAACTGTCTAGGAAAAGATTTATGTGGGATCTATGTAATAAAGCCAGTTCTTCATCTGTTCTTTTTAAGGCTTCAGAATATTTATATCCCGTCAGTATGTATCATATAACTACATCATCTAACTTGATGATGGGGACAGTTCTTCCTACTTGGATATCTAAGGAGGATAGGGTGATGCCACATCCAAATTAGTTGGTTTTACTGCAGACCTCTTTCCTTCCTTCCTTCCATTAATATTGCTTCTAAGCATGATCCATTCTTATACTACACAGTTATTCATAGGAGCTGGGGGTAAATGGAACTGGCTATAATCCCCAGGCATAAATTTTGAGGGGGAGAGATGAGAAATGACTTAAAAGCTTGGCTAGAATCAATTTCACAGCCTTGGCTCCATCTGCAGATGAGAGGTGATGATACTGACAAATCCCAGCCAGCATCCTGATCCCTTTGAAGTATGAGATTCTGTCTGGGCAGGTGACTTGATTGGCAACCTGTACAAATGGCCACAGGTAAAGGAAAAGGAGGAATACAATCCACAGAAATGACAGCGAAACATTTAATGATAGTGAAACAAGGCACCAAGAAAGCCTCTCTCTTTATTTTGCTTGCAAAAGTATTTGGTGATGGTAGCTATGCACAAGGAATATGCACATGTTATACATTCCTCCGATGGCATTATTAATCAGTTTTAATTCAATGAGAAGGGCATTACTCTACCAGTGATAAAAATGAAACTTCAGCAGTAGGATGAAGCAGGAAAATATAAATGCTCAGCTCACTCTCTCCACATGTGTTGAAATTCATATTGCTCCATATCAGTGATTCACTTGTGGGTTTAAACTTTTATGTATATCATCATTTCTTGTAGAAAAAAAGTCTTTGCAAAATGATGCCTCAGGGCCAACCTATACGTTATATGGCGCTTCATGTAATTCCACTCTGCCCACCCCACGTAATTTTCTAATAAGAGAGAGGATTATGCACTTTTTAACTATGGAAAAGCATCCATAAAAGGCTGAGAGGAGCACAGGAATGGTAGATAGGAAAGCGGGATTAACTCTTCCCAAGCAATCCATTTCAACTCTTGCATTTTCCCCCACCCAGCCACTTGCTGGCCCCTTGGAAAGGGAAAGATAGACACCCATTATCGTTTTGCTGCAGGAAGAAAAGCAGCCAGGGGTTGTGGTTTTGAGTGCAGGGCACCATTTGAAATTTCATTACATGTTTGCCCTGGAGATGTCCCTGCAAATCTAAAATGAGTTCTGCACATATAAAATGAGCAGAATGCTCCTCAGTGTAACACATAGTTATTAACATTTATACAGAAGCAGCTATTACAACACAATCAAGCAGTAAAAACAGGTCAAGAAAATGTAGAAGTATATAAGGTTCAAAACAAATCAGAGATTGTGATTAAACCCTTAATTAACAGGGCTATTTCCCCCCA